CGGCGTCTGCGACGAACAAACAGTCGCTCGGGTACAGCCTCGTCCCCCGCCCCACAGTCACACAGCTTTCATCGCAATTACCAAAGCAATAACAAGGCAAATGACAACGATCATTCATTCACTGATGTTTCCGGGCATGTCAACTGCTATAGTCAATAGAACCGTTCGTGCCTTTCATTCCGAGAGAAGGCGGAATCTTTCCCCGATGGATGGTGAGAACCGGCCCCGACCTACACGCCGACTCGCGGAGGATTTTCCCCTCCAGGTCTCTCTCGAAGCGAACGCAACCTCTAAGCTCCCGACAAGTGTGACAGAGTAGTGTACGCAAATTAAAGTGGGTGTCTGTGTAACAATGGAAGTGTGTGTAATAAAAGAAAAAAAATAGGACAAGGAAGAGAGGAAGGGTCGCGCGCGGTCGGTGATATTGCTCCGGCATTCGCCTGAGCGGAGAAACCACAGAAAACTACAACTGGCCCCTGGAATTCTCCTCCAGTCAATGGCTGAACTTCACCTAGCTGAGTAGGACACGTTGAAAATCCTGCCACCGCCGGGACTCGCGCCTAGCACCTCCCGGATCAAGTGGCTGTAGAGAGAACGGTAGGGGACTGCAGCCCTGGCAGCCGTGATGGCGCCTACCGTCACATGTAGGAATCAACGGCACGGATTAACACAATGATTCATGAGCACAACAACGCAAGGACTGAATACATCACAACTTCTAACTAATGAAGCTACATCAGCACTTGCTTTCTACCATTATTTGTAACTACTCGCATTATATGCAGCGCATTGTACAGACAAGATAGGATAATTTCACATTTCCATTGAATATTCAGAAGTAAAGGCTATCTAACGCGAGTATATCGCCTTTTATAAATGCATACGACACTACGATACCTATCATTACGTAATGTCCATATTATGCATATCTGTATCTTTATGTTCTTCAACTTTAATACAGTTGAATGTAACATTTTATTGAACAGACTAAATTGGACATTGTAACATTAACGTTAAGTAAATAAAGCCTTTTTATATTATCTCCCTCCTATCCAAGTCGCCAGTCAAGAAAAAAATTATTGGAATAACATCTCAAACTGCAAAATCGCAGCAGTGTATAGCAGATCCACAGTAATATCAAATTATCATAATGAAAGTTCGTACAACTTTATCGTATTACATTTTTTAAATGTTTCATTCATATAACATTTTAATCGTATTTTCAAGGGAGAAAACCTAATTGGGCTAATTTCAATGAAAG